TGATAAGACTGAGCAACAAGCTTACCTGTCAGTAAAGGCTGGACAACTAAACTGTTGTAAGTTGCATATGTTGAGGTTAATGGGATCATAGTCATCAACAATGTAGATGGTAGGCCAGCACGTGAGATATTTAGGATTTTCCTGAATGACCTGTTTACTATTAAGCCACATACGCTTGCACTTAGTCCCAGGAAGATTGAGCCATGTTCCAAAAATTCCCTGTGGAAAAGAGAAAAGATTATTTGTACAGCTGTGAACTGGAGATGAAGGTTGCCTTCTTGGTTCTATTACTACAACGAACCGTTCAAGGAACACAGACCTGGATAATTTCACAAAAGGACAGAATCTCATGCTTCAGAGACTACCATGACAATGGTAAGAATCAAAAATGAACAACAGTTTAAGTTTATATAAAGTAGAAACAACTTGATGGGTGACTTCTGAGGACGAAGGGTTATCTTCTGAAACTAAGGTACCACAGCAATAGGAGATCCATCTCTTCTGCTCTGTGTCAACAGGTGATTTTGAGAAAAAGTGCTGTGGCACCTTGAGGTGCCTTGAGCAATGTTAGCACTGTTGCATAAGCAAACATGCTTCATAAGATAAACCTACAGATTTCAAATAGGCTTTCATAGTGTTAAAACATGTTGTCCTGTCGTGGTCCTTCTGAGCTTTTTGCAACAGACGAACTGCTCTATGTTTTCGTTGCCAAAAAAAAGGGACAACTAGGAGAGAGATGCACACAGAGACAGACTCCAAATGAGATAAATCCAAGGTCAGGCCCCTGCTCTCTTTCATTTTGAACAGAAGCCAGAATCACCGGGGTTATTTTGCTGTGGGTGTGGGCAAGTCTCTCAACAGAAAACTGCATCCACAAATGCATTCTCACACAACGTTTGAGCAAGCAGGAATTTCTGAAAAGAGGAGAAAGTTTCTATCCAACTCCTGACCATCTTCAATTCCCAGCTTTCGATCTATGCTGCCTGCCTAATGTTACGGATTCAGGCATAGTACAATAGCTTGGGTGGGAACAAATTTGAGAGGACACAAGGATCAGGATGGGAGGTTCCCACAGCTACTGGTGTTTTCTGTTGTTCTGATCCTGGCCACCGAGGTGACTGGTGCCTCAAACAGGCATTGACTTCTAGCGGGGAAAGTTTTTGAGCTTCTCTCTATATGACACTAAGAGCTGCGTGCCCACAGCCCCACTAGGGCTCCTGGTCTGGGGAAGAGGTGGGGGAGCATTGCCCCTCTGCTCCCTTTTTCCAAACCAGTCCAGGATGGGAACAGGGAGCAGCAGTACAGGGTCCCCGCCCAGGCAATCCCTGCTGCTCCTCTTCCCTCTGGGACCGGATTGGGAGGGGCACGTGTAATCAAAATTTTATTTAAGGGAGATCATATGCTTCTAAATATCTGAAAGTTTTTCAAATACAAAAGTAAGACAAGAAATCACAAAAAAGGCTTTAAAAGTACTTTGCTGGCAAAATGAGATGGGCGTATCACTTACTGATCTTCTTCTGGAAGCTGTTCAAACAACTCTTGCAGAACTTTGATTCTTTGATTCTCTATATTTTTCACTGGAGAAATTACTTCCGGGGGCTCTCTCGGTGTCATTGTGAGGCTCTGCATCACAAAATGAAAAGACAAGTTTTAGTTAAGTAACACTGCCCCGATATAATCCCAGCTAACTTTTGAATGAACAGATAAATGTAGCAAAGAAATACTTAGCACCTCTAACATTAAGAAGCTTTGATTCTTTGATTCTCTATATTTTTCACTGGAGAAATTACTTCCGGGGGCTCTCTCGGTGTCATTGTGAGGCTCTGCATCACAAAATGAAAAGACAAGTTTTAGTTAAGTAACACTGCCCCGATATAATCCCAGCTAACTTTTGAATGAACAGATAAATGTAGCAAAGAAATACTTAGCACCTCTAACATTAAGAAGTGTCACTGAGATCTGCAGGGCATGATCCAAAAAGTCTGTGGAATTTATAGCTACACAAGCCCTGATAAACAACCTTCCTTGGTAGGAAAAAAAAAAAAATCAGTCTAGGAAGGGAGGCCAAGAGAATACAAATGTACTGAGATGCCTGGTCTCTTTTCTTTCCTTCTAGCTGACAACTTGACTTTTATTTTTACTCTGAACAGAGATACATGTTCAGAATTGGTGAGATAGGCTCAGGTAGTTCAAGGGTTTTAGTCAAACCCACTGTAAAATGATCATACTGAGCAAGGCATTCCTATTGCCATCTTCTCTTTTGTGGATTGAGGAGAGAATGATCTATAGTCCGGCTGGGGAATTACTTCGGCTGGAGGACCACTTAACGAGCAAGGGTAGCCCCAGCCCTTGACAGGTGCCCCCTAGTCCCCATCTTGGGACCAGATATTCTGCCCCTCACCCATGACCTTTGGCATTGGAAGTCCCTACCCTCACCCTCAGAAGTACTCCGGGGGTGGAGGTGGGGATGTTGGAACTGGAAAAAAACCCTCCAAAATATATACTAAAAATCAAATGTCTACTATACAGGGGTGGGGATGGGTTCTGTGGGTGGGTGTATTTTTGGGTATGTGTGGGTGTGTACGGGGTCTGTGCGTGTGGGGGGGTTGTTGGCATGTGGCCCTCCTATAAACACGCCCCCCCCCACTGCACAAAGTCCCTGCCACCTGCAGTAGTGGCAGCAGTAGGCAGTCGGCCCTTGGGGCACTCATGGCCCACGGCAGGTGAAGCCCCCCAGGACTGCACGTGGCCGGGCTGCCAGCTCCATCGCACAGGGCTCGCATGCAGCTCCCGGGTTCTCTGCCTGAGCCCTGCACTGCCAGGGGAAGCCCCACACAATGAAGCTAGTGGCACAGGTCACAGGGCTCAGCCGGGGTGGCAGTGAGAGGGGCCGAGCCAGCCCGGCTCTATAGCAGAGCTCCCCGTTGTTCCCCATGACCTGCACATAGCAGTGAGTGGGGCTGGGCTGCTGGCTCAGTCGTGCAGAGCTCTCCCGGAGGCACACGGCTCGGGCGGAGAACCCAGGAACTACATGGGAGTCCTGCGTAGGGCGGCCGTGCTAGAGGACATTCCAGTTTTCTGCTGCTCTGTCCTCTATTGATACGAAACCCAAGACCTTTATGTCCTCTGTTTCTCTCTTTAAGAGAAAATATGCTATTAAAATTGGTCTCAGTAGCCCCAGGGAGGAGGCTGACAGCCTGAGCACAAGGATGGCTGACACTCGCTCCTCTTTCCAGCCCCCAAAGACAAACGATGCCCTGGCCCCATTCACACGTGTGTCATTCTTTAAGAGAAAAGCAGAGGACATAAAGGCGTCCGCTGTCATATCAACAGAGGACAAGCGGACTGTCCTCTATGATGGCCACCCCAGCCCTGCGTGATGGACCCTGGCAGACCCGTGTCCCCTCCGCTCCCTCACAACACCTGCTGCATCCTCCCTGTACCTGCTATGGCTGCTTCCCTACCTGCGGGGCTGGGGTCAAGGCCATCCCGTGGGCAAGGGTGGGAGCGCAGCACGCGCCGCCCCCGCAGGACTGAACAGGGCTTAGCCCCACGCAAGAGCACGAATACAGCCAGGCGGTAGGCACCCGCCCGCAGGCGGGTGCGTATCCAGCCCACCCCTGATCTACAGAACGGGTTTCCTCAATTTGCAGCCCGCACTTTTCTTCTTTCGGATGAACCAGGTGTTTCTAAGGCGACGCAGACCTGTTCGGGAAGCTCCCGGCTTACTGAAGTCTCGGGCTGATGGGCACGTCCCAGCGGCTCCTCGCAGACGGCTGGCGTTGAAAACACGGGCAGTGAACAGGATCAAAACCGCACGTGTAAACCTAAGACGGAAAAACCAACAACCCAAGTTCGGAGGTCTGGAGAGATTTCAGTGCCGCGGGGTGAACCCGAAGCGCCCGGGCCGGCGTTACCGCCTGCGCCCTCGAGCTGCTGCGCAACCGCCCCCCACCGCCCTCTCCAAACACCACGAGCTGTCATTTCTTCCCTATTGCAATGAAGGGCATTTGGGGCGGGCAAGGACGGAGCCGGGCTCGTGAAGGCGCCTCCTGCGGCCCGAGTCCGCGTCGCTCCCGCACAAGGGCAGCCGCGGACAGCGGGGGCGGGGAGGCAGGACCAAGCACGGGGCCAGACCGCAGCACCCACCGGCGTCTCCCGGGGCCCTCCAGCCGGCAGCCCCCGCGCGCCCGCG